GGAGAGACAACAAGTGTGAATGGGGAGTCCCCATGAACTCTATTAGAGCCAGATTCAGATCTTGTGGTAGAGGCTGCTGAGACAATACAAGGAGCAACTCTACACCAACTTGGCATTTCCTTCTTTACAAAGAAGTATCACATTAGCCCCATGTGATGCTATGGCAAAAAGGGAGATTGGGGTCATCATTAATAACCACCTAAGTCCTTTTCAGAGTCTCATCTGTGTGTGAAATTCCTACAGATTGGCTTACAGCCCAAAGGATTGGGTACAAAATGTGTTCCCTGTTGACTGTGCTAGCTGAGGATCCACATTCTTTGTGACACTGTTCTCTCTGCCTTCAGCCAGCTCTGGTTGTCCACAAACCCACCCTGGCATAGCAATGGCACTGTCAGAATATAGGAAAGCTTGTGCAGCTGTATCACATTTGTATTTCCTTTTCTCAGGTTTCCCCTTTGATCGAGAGATGGGCCTCATGAAGGCCTGGACACTGGTAAGTAGCTTCCAATGAAAGACTCCCTTCGTCTTCTTACTTTCTGCTGCTGTTTGTTGGCATCCTTGTCCACAAGAGAGGGTGGGAATTGCAACCTAGGATATAGATGACTTGCAATGTCTCACAGAATCGTAGGACTAGAAGGAACCTTGAGAGGTCATCAAGTCCACTTCCCTGCACTCATGGCAGGACAAAGCACCACTTAGACCCAATCAACTAGTGATTGTCTAACCTGGTCTTAAAAAAAAAACCACACACACACACACCCACCCAACCACCCCCCCTCCAGGGGTGGAGATTCCTCAACCTCCCTGAGCAATTTATTCCAGTGGTTAACTGCCCTGACAACTGGGAAGTTTTTCTTAATGTCCCATCTAACCCTCCAATCCTACACCTCAGCTGCAATTTAAATCCATTGCTATTTTTCTACCTTGTCGTCCTGACAGAGTTTTAGCTACTTGAAATCAGATTTATGTCCCCACTAAGTCTTTTTTTTTTTAAAACAAACTAAACTAACCCATATCATGTTTCAATAATTTGTTGCTTTTTTCTGGACTTTCCCCAATTTTTCCTGAAATGTGGTGTCCAGAACTAGACACAATACTCAAGGTGAAGCTTGATCAGTGCAGAGTAGAGTGGAAAAATTACTTATTTATTATTTAGCCATTTGGAATGGCAATCCATCAACCATATGAAGAAACTTGCACAGATACGACAGACATCATCTTTCTATCCAAGTGCAAGAAGATGGACATCGTACCCAAAGGACTGAAAGCAAACAATCCATTAAGATCAACATACTGTACTGACTACAGTGAAAGACTCTGCCTCACACTATCCAAGAAATTAAGGAATCACCTGATAAGTATTTTATACAAGAATTACTATTCTTACATCTTACTTATGACACTTCTGCTAATACATCCCAGAACAATATTTTCTTTTTTCATCAGTATCACACTGTTGATTCACATTTAGCTTGTGGTCCAGTACAACTTCCTGATGCCTTTCCACAGTACTCCTTCCTATGCCAGCAGTTCCCATTTTGTACGTGTGCAACTGACTCCTTCCCAAACTGAGTACTCTGCATTTGTCATTATTGCATTTTAAGACCCTTTCTCCAGTTTGTCCACATCATTTTGAATTACTATCCTATCCTTTCTATTCTTGTTCCCTCAGAGCTCCCAGCATAGCATGTCCTTGGGTATGTGTCAGTCTTCCAACCCATCCAAATGGCCCAGCCAGCACAGTCTTTTCCTTGAGCAGGACTGTCATACTTGGGAATTTACCCTTTGAAGAACCTCTGCATTAGTGACTTTACATCACATACTCAATATTAAAGCCAAGATAAACAGTGTTAAGTGGAAACTGTTTAACTTTCTCCTGATGAGCAGGCTTTGAGTTGTTCCATGCTCTTTTAGTTAGTCTGACAAAAGTGGTGGCAGTCTTTCCAATGCAAATATTTAGTTCTTCATCCAGTGAAGTCACTGCAAAACTTAAGTAGCTGAACTTAGGGACTATTCTAGATGGTTTGTGGTAACTGAAGGATCCTATGGGAAATTCCCCCCACCCTGCCACAAGTCTTTTCTTAATGCTGATGGTGAAAGCAACGTCCTGACAGGCACTTGAAAGGCAGCCCATCCATGAGTTCTTGTCATAGACGTCTTGGGCTATAAGGGCACTATGAGCAGCAAATAGAAGTTCCCCGATTAGTACTTTTGTGACAAGTCAGGACAAGTTGAAAAAAGTTCCCCATCCAATCTTGTGTAGACACACACCAGCTTTCATATCCTTAAATACACAGTGAGCTGAGGACTGAAGTGCTCAGGTACCAGAGGAAAGGTGCTGGGAAGGATCGTTTGGGGGAAGTAGCCCAGAGAAGATGCTGCCAGACTGGGAGTAAAAGAAACCCTGACTGTTGCCACTGCTTTCGGGACCCTGGGCCAGAACCCAGAATAGTGGATGGGCCTGGGTTCCCCCCAGCCCTCCCCCACTCCTCTCAGTGGGGGACTCTGTAGTAAAGAGACCAGGACTACAAGGGGTTTCACCTCAAATTGTGGACTAGCCTATGATGAGTATGGCTCAACGGGCTGTAAACCTTGCCTCTAGAAAAAGAAGAGACTGTGTAGAGGGTCACAGTGAGCCTCTGAAGCAAACATTGTCTACCAGAAGCACAGGACCCACAGGGCAGAGTCAGAGCTTTACCACAGCCCACAAAGGTAAAGTACAATGATCTGTGTTGCTCTCTGCAAATAGGTCTATGGTTGATCTTCCAGACCTGAAGCCACACCGATTTAGAGTAGACATGATCTGACTACTGTTGTAGGCGCTTTAAGCTGACTTTCCCAAAAGCTTTTCCTGCTACACTTAGTAGCGAGATACTTCTGTAATTGCTGCAGTCTTCCCTTTTGCCTTTATTTTTATTTAAAAAAAAAATAGATGTTTGCATCACATGTTTCTTGGGGCACCTCATCCTCTTCCCAGCATATGAGTAGCAGATGAAGAAGATATGGTAACAGGCTGTCTTTCCTACTCTCGTGGATTTCCACAGGGATGCCATCTCTTCCAGGAGCCTTGCCACAGGATAGCAAAAGGCCTTGCTTAGCTTTTCTGCAAAATGCTCCACTAGAGAGGGGTTTGGCCTCTCTAGTTTCTTGGCTATAAATCTTCACTTTGATAATACTCAAGTAGAGTCAAGTCAGAAATGAAATCCTGGTACCACTAGGACCATAAATGGTACAATCTATATTGGTCAACACCAAGTGCTGGGAGTTGGGAAATCCAGAAGTCTCAGGAGAAGGTAATGGATGGAGGAAATACCATCAAAAGGCAGATGAGCAAATTCACTCATCCATACAGGACAGGCTGGTTATCGGCCACAGCTGAAGGGCCCAACCTAGTGGAGCTCCGAAAGGCAGGCAGATCTTCTCTGTACTGGCAACTACTGCAATGTAGCTGGTTCTAAGTGTATCAACTCCCATCCTTCCTTTGGCCAAAACCAGTGTCAAGAGCACAGCTTGATTTAAGATTTAACACTTCCCCCTTTTACTAGTATAGTGTTTCTCAACCCACCAGTGGGTTGCAGGAAGGGTCTAGGTGGGTTGCATGTGCTCCAAAGGCACAGCCCCACAGCACTCTCATTGCCCCTGGGAAGCAGCATGAGTGGGGTCTGCATAGAACAGCCACCGCCCAGAGGAAGTGCCTCCAGGGCACGCCTAGGCTGTTGTCTGCTAGATGTCTCTGGCCATGCTGCTGTCACCACCACTGTCATGCCACCAGGGCTGCACTCAGCACTGTGGGCAATGGGAGTCAGGTACTGGCAGCAGTGTGGAGCACGCAGCCCGAGCCAGCAAGTGGCCAGTCAGCAGTGATCATGGCCCAGCCAAAGGGACAGCAGCACTGACAGAAGATGCAGAAGGTAGCAGGACTGGGACAACAAGAGCAAAGCACTGGGGGAGCCATACATGGAATTTGTGAGCAAGGCAACAGAAGCAGCCAACTCACCTTGACGCAGAAGAAGTCTGGCACTATGTGCAACCTCCCCACCCTGGCCAATTCGTGTTCAGGGGCTGTTTCAGTTAGGTCCCCCAGATATAAAAAGATCTGAGAAGCTAATTCTCTGCCAGGACAAGGACAAGGACAGCCTATCGGAGGTTTTGCATTTTCCTTTCCTTTATGTTACGTATCCTGTCCTCCACTCCCCCATACAGAAAGCAGTGACGACCTTAAATTACAGGATATATGAACCCTATTAGAGTTCTCTATAGAGCAAAAGGGCTGGGAGGGGGATGAGCAGAGAGCAAGGTTTAAGCAGGGCTCCACAGCTCTGTATGATGTGTACAGTGCTACCCATGTTAGCACTTAACTCTAGTGTTCCCGTGTGTTGGAATTCAAAATAAACTGATTAAATAAAACTTCATCTAACTAAAAGATAGTGGTGCGCATGTGAACCAACATGCTCACTCACACAGTATACAGGGAACCCTCGCCATCTGTGGAGGATACATCCTTGACACTACTACAAATCCTGGGGCGGAAGGAAGCAGAGCGAGTACCTCATTATCCCGTGGCTCCTCGCCACTGCATGGGTGGAAGAGGAAGAAAGGGAAGGTGAATCGCAGGGGTCTCCTGTATATGCAATTGGGAGGGGGGGACCCTCCAGAAGAGCAAATGCAGTTGCTGGGTTGCCTTAAAGAATTTGGTGATTACTACACTCCAGGGCCAACAAAACCCTCTTTGTTCACCTGTATCCATCAGCAGCACTTGCAAGGGCACAAATCCCTTCTATATGATCTGGGCATCACAAACTAGCAAAAAAAGCTCCAGAATTTCAACTGCTAGCCTTAATTTTCTGTATCCAGTAAGCCCATTTTTGGTTTTTCATGGGAGACTCTAGACTTACCCAGCTGGTAGGCACCCATCCTATTGAGGCTCATTAACTTTGTGTCACACACAACCCTTGAGCACATCACACTGCAGACATGCATGCCAAAAGGGAAAGCCATACCTGTAAGGATGTTCTTGAAAGCTTCTTCTACATTTGTAGAATCCAGGGCAGAAGTTTCAATAAATGATAAGTTATTTTTTTCTGAAAAAAAGGAAGAGACCACTCAGACTTGAGCAGCATTTTTAATTCTAGGCCTTAGCTTAGATATCTTGGCTTATATAACCAGGACCTAGTCTTGCTTTCTCTATGACAGGAGAAACTACACTGCTTGTTCAAATGGATTTGGCACCTCACTGTATTTAGCTAACTAGTCTTATCAGCAGTAGCAATCCCCAGCACCTGAGCACATCACCCTCCCTTCACTCCCTCTTCTGCAATGCAACAGGGCTCCCTGCATAGTATTATTCCTGACAATGGCCAACTACCAGTGTGATGCAGCTCCCAGTGAGAGCACAGTCATGTAGACGGGGAATGCAGGATTCCCCCTCACTCCACTCCCAGAGACTTACTGACAGGGAAAAAAAAATAAAAATCAGAACTTCCCTGTTACTCCATAGCCAATCATTCCCTGGAGACAGCACACTAGAAGGGGCAGGAAACAAGGAAAGGGAGTGCCTTGCCTCCAGGGGTCATGTCCCAGTGCTACCACCAACATTTAAATACACACACAACACAGTGCCTGCCAAAATGTGAGACCTACAAATGGAAATTTACATTGCTGCCCCCGCCCCATCACTGACTATGACTGAACAGCTGAGGTTCAGTCCTTCCATGCTGCACTGGGTTTCAGTAGCCCATACAAGCGAAAGACCCATGATGGCTGTTGAGATTTGTGACTGATTGTTACGTTATGTCAGCCAACTCCAAGGCAGGGAGAGTTTATTAAGTTTCCACAACCAGAGGCTAAGCTTTGGTCAACCCAAATGATTCACTGTTTAGTGAATGGAACACTCAGAGAAAGATTTGTTTTTGGTGGTTTATGTACTTTATTCATCCCTCAAGATCCTTTGGAATTGGTTTTATTTCAGCAACATTTTTCATCCAGATCTCTTCCTAGCCTGACAAGGGAAGCAAGAAGGGTCTGTGCTTCAGAGTCCTGGCAGCCCTGGGGCAGGATTATCACTGGTTTGCAAGAAGCTTCCTAGCTCTGGGTCTCAAAAGAGTTTCACCAAACACCGCTGTTCAACCAGTAAGTGCACTTTTTCCATTGCAGGGGTGTATGTACATCAGAGCTTCCAAACGGAAGGCTGCCCTTGTCTGAGATGGAGTACTTCAGTCTGCTACACACCACATGCACAAGTGAAAAACACCAGCTGAACAGATAAGACATGCAGTTCACAAACCTGCAAAAGCCCGGGCCTCATCCGTGGGCACAGCTCTCAGATGGCGCAAGTCACTCTTATTTCCCACTAGCATGATGACAATGTTGTTGTCTGCATGATCTCGGAGCTCCTTTAGCCAACGCTCCACATTCTCGTAGGTCAAATGTTTGGCAATGTCATAGACAAGGAGGGCCCCAACGGCACCACGGTAATAGCTGGAACCACAATGAATACACAGTTTTAGAAGGAATTCACTCAAAATCGACAGAAAAAAACTTTAGTTTTCCTATTGTAATGTTCACTTCTTAGAAAGAGCTATGCTTGTTTTTAAAAAAATAGAAAAAACTTCAATAAAGGAATTTAAAAAAAAACCCAAGAGACTGACAAATCTGGTGGCTATTTCAAGCAGGACATTAGCAGCATAAAGGGAAACTCACTTTCATTTCAAAGAGAGTGAAACGACACTTCTGTTCAGAAGTATTGCTGGATTTAATCTCATAGATCTTTCTACTGTGAAAAGTGGTTACTAGAAAAAAAAGACCAATATTGTCATTTGACTAATCCCTCACCAAGGGAAAAGGCAACTTAAAATAGTCACTCACTCCTTTAGTTAGGCACTCTTGGCTCCTGCAACACCATCTCTTCATGCATATCTCCCAAGAATGCCATGACCCCAAGTGTCAACATTTCACCCCCACACCTCTCCAATTTAACACAATAGACATGGACACTTTGTGTGTAATTCAGTAACAATGTCCATAGAGGACACCAGAAAGGCCCATCCAGCTAATCAGAATGTGGCTTTGGATAACTAGTCTCCCAACAACATTAATTTCCTATTTTTAGGGATGTTTCCCACCACTTCTGCCAACCCTCTCTCCAGAGCGATTCTGCCCAGGGGACTAGCAAAGCAGGGGGAAGTCATTCGCTGCTGGCCAGCAGTGGGGGGTCCCCCACCACACACACACTGGCAGCAGCGGGGGAAGTTGGGCAATGCAGCCCCATCTTGTTTTGCTTACCGCTTCCCCGATTCCCAGGAACTCTGGCCTTGCTAGCTGCTGGCCAGTCCCTTGGTCTTCCCACCCATGGTGTTTTGGGGGGGGAAGGCAGGGAGGGGGACATGTACCCTCTTATACTCCCACACGTCACCCCTGTTTACAAACAGGCTCTGAGAAGCACTAGTGAAATCAGTATAAACCACAATTTCATACAGATAAAATGAGCAAGTCAGCAGTTATTTAATACGATTGCTGTGACACTTTTGCATTTAGAACTGATTTTGTAAGCAAGTAGTTTTCAAGTGAGGTGAAACTTGGGACACACAACAGATCTGACTTCTGGAAGAGGGTCAATAGCATGAAAAGGTTGAGAACAACTGCAGCACCGAGCCTCACTGACTGCATGTGTGTGCTGATTAACCCTGGGAGAGGGAAAAAGAGAGAGAGAGAGGGAGAGAAGCTGATTTCTCTTCCTCCTGCATCTCCACCAATAGTAGAAGAGAGTGGTGGTGAGTAATACTCACGCTGAGGTTATGGCACGGTATCGTTCCTGCCCTGCAGTGTCCCAGATCTGGGCTTTTATTGTCTTCCCATCCACTTGGATGCTCCTTGTGGCAAATTCCACCCCAATGGTGCTCTTGCTCTCAAGGTTGAACTCATTCCGTGTGAAGCGTGACAGAAGGTTACTCTTTCCTACCCCAGAGTCTCCAATCAACACAACTGGAAGAAAGCAGAATGAATCCTTTATCTTGAGATGGGGAGAGAAAACTAATGATAGTATTTTATGACATGGTAAATTTGAACTCATGACACATGAAAGATTACCCTTCCCTGCTCCAGAGTCCCCAGTCAACACCATTTTATCGAGCCATAGGCCTACCCAAATAGAGCCTGCCCAGATGTGGAGTACAAGGCTCCCTAAAAATAAAAGCTATTTGCAATCCCTTCAATACAGGATTCATTCTAGTAAACTTTTGCTAATTAGGCATAAGCGAGAGACTCACATAGAGTTAGGCACAAAGTAGATAGTAAAACATTTGCCACTATGAGCAATATCTGAAAGAAATCCACATTTCATAGGATAAAATTTGTAATTCATGTAGTTTCTAATGGTCACTTACCAATAATGATGTAATCTACCAATGGTTCTCAACCTAGGATCCAATCAGCACATAGCTGCAGCCCACACAGGTAGCACTGAACGCAACCCATATTACACATGTAGTCCACAACGGTACATAGGTTGAGAACCATTGGTATAAACTAGGGATTAAAAAAAACTAAAATATTAACTATGTAACTGATAAAAATTCTATTGGTTACATGGTTAACCACTCCCAGGGCTGCCAGTGGTACCACACAGTGGAACCAGGCCACAGGGGGATGCACCTTGAGCAGCCCTCTGCCTGCAGCGGGTCGCAAGTGAGGAACTGCTCCCAGGCACAAGGTCACTGGTTACCTGTTCAGATCCCTAGTATAAACAGCAGTGAAGAGATTTTTACTGCAAACAGGCTCATCAATTTTACAAAAATACTAGCAATTAGATGAAAATTGAATTAATGCCAGATGCCAGTGCCACTTCCTGAATCTGGGACCAGCCACACTTACGCATTGTGTTATATACTAGGGATGTTAAAATTAGATTAATCAACTAATCGAATAGTCAGTGGAATTTCCATCGACTATTCAGTTAGTCGATAAGGCCACTTCTGTTTAGAAATGTAGCGAGAGCCTGCTGGGCTTGTTCCTCCTTTGAAACATACACGAGCCCCAGCAGGGACTCTTGTACATTTTAAAGATGGAATGCTGCCAATGCACCCCTGCCACCTCCCACAGAACCAGAGGAAACTAGCTTTTAAACCGGCTCCCTCCAGCACCTCCTCCTTCCCCCCCCCCCCACTTTGCTGCCTCGTTCTGATAGGGGCAGTGGGCGGAGGCAGGGGGGAATGACTAGTTGACTATCCAATAAGCTTTTGCTTATCGGATAGTTGACTAGTCGCTTACATCCCCAATATTTACCGTGTCCTGACTGGCTCAAACTCCACAGTGATAACAGACTGCTCTTTTATTCTTTGGACATCTCCCTCTCTCACCTGGGAGACTCCTCAAACTAGTTCAAACTGAATTCTTCAGATGCCAACAAAGGTATGACCAAAGAGCCTGAGTTTAAACTGACTCAGTCTATTCTGATCCAGCAAATGACAAAAATCAGATTTCCACCTAAGGGAAGGACCCCAATCTTCAAGGAAGGACTGACACCAACCAGAAGCCGCTGGGGAGATGATCTCTGTTAAGCTCATTGGTATCCATGTAAGTGTGCTTTTTTTTTTTTTTTTTTTAAACAAACATTCTAAAGGTTCTACATTATGAATTGAAGTACTTGCTTAGAAAGAACTGTGTGGTAACTTAACCTCCTCATGCTATAACACAGCTAACAAAGTGCAGTAACAGGCCTGTTTAGGTCATTTGTCTTGCCAGAGCGTCTCCCAGTACAGGTAAGGAACTATGCAGCCTGGAAAAACCCTGGTCAAGGGGGACAAAGATGCAGGTCTCTTTCCAAGAGAGGCGATGATTAAGGATCCCAGAGTTGACACTCTTATGGGACTCTGAGGGGGAGTTATAAGTTCAGAGAATACAACCATCATGCATCCCTTTTCCAAGTGTTACTGAAGTTGAAGAAGGTTCTAAGAGACAGACTGTGGGATCTCTCAAGCAACAAGGGTTAAATATAGTGGGGGGATCCTAAATTGCTTCACTGACTTCCTCTTCACTTAATGTGGTACCTCCGCCTGGTAGGCAGGAGCAGACACCATATCCATACACATTTAAGCAATTACATTTCTTAACATACATTTAAGATTCTTAATTTTTACATTTTTGTATTGTTAGAAAAAGGATTTACTAGATTAATTTTTCTACTCATGATCTGTGTTAAGCTGCATTTGGATGGTAATTTGGATTAAATTAAAAATGCACAAGACATTTTTAAAAACTTCCTTAGTTCAGTAAAGACTTTGGGATACACAAGAAAAGCATGAGGATGTATTTTGTAATTTTATCAAAGTTCATATTATCTGTAGTCAGTTAATTGAACTAAACTGATTGTTGTGATCATCATACCCTTGAAGATTATAGAAAAAAAGTTAATTTAATCTTTTCAGACCTCTTTAATTCAGAGATCGGAGATAAAAAATAAGGTATCCTGCTTTTACAATTCTGAATGAACTAGCTGAAAAAACTGAAAAAATATTATTCTGTGTATGTAAACAGAGGCTTCTGCTGTGAAAAGCCATTTTAGCACTTCAGCAAACTCAGGTTCCAGGCACTGAACAGTGACTTCCACCACTCTGATGGTTTGACTTCCTTTAAAACTCCAGCAAAGATTTACTGCTTAAATTACTTTATTAAACATAAATATACTATTAACCTGTGCCAAGTCTTGCACCTCCCATTTCAAGTTTAATTTTAAAAACGGATTTTTAAAGAAAAAAATTTAAATATGAACAAATCTAGTTTATTTAAATCATAGCGTTTAAGTCAACCTAAATAAGAGACCTCCTTTGCCACCAAGGAGTGGCAGTTCAGGGATTTCTACACTACAGAGTTAGTCAACAGAAGGCTGCTTATGCTGACCTAGCTTTAAGCATCTACAAGAGCATGTGAGTAACAGAATTTTGTGCAACTATCGCTACCTTTACTACTATGAAGTTTCAATTACATTGACCTGGGTAATTCCAAAGAAGCTAGAGGCAAATATTTCTCTACCTCTTGATGCAGTTTAACAAAGGTCAGCAATTTTTCCTCCCTGCAGCCTCCAACATTTATTTCAATTTAAAAGTGAACTTTTCTATAACTACTGATTTTCTTGTTAGGGGACAACAGAGTTTATAGATAAGGTAAATCACTTCAAAGACTATTAGGGGTTATTATAAAACACTGAAAGACAACTCATATCTAAATAGACCATTGAACCCACATGCTGTCTGTTTCATTTACAATTCAAAGAAAAAAGTTTCTGCTATTTAAAATGCCAATACTGCAAGCTAATTTGCTAACCAAAAAACCAAGCTGTTTCAGCTTTGTGTATTATTCACGAACAAGAAACTTACTTCAAAGTGCCTTCACTGGCATTTTAGTTCTGTTCTACCACATGCAGACACTAGCTTGCTCTTTTCCAGCTAGAGCATAACAAAGCTAGAGCAGTGCTGATAATGGACAATTTCATTTTCATTAATTTAAAACAGAAAACTAGATGTGACTGAATATGCACAACATGACACTAAAGTTTGGACAGGTGTATTGTAAAAGAATCTAGTCTTCCAGAGCTGTTTTCTGATCATAAAAACTTTCACCCTCCAAGTATAAAAACAAGTTTGTTCATAAGCTTCAAAGGAATAGCCGAGTTACAGACTAACTGGACCAAAAAAAAAAAAAAAAAAACTTAAAATACAGCAAATAATCTAGTACAGTGATACGCAACATTTTTGATCTGCGTCGTGGGGGCCAAATGCTGGACCCAGCCCCCGGCCAGATCTAGGCACTGCACCGTGGGGACCGCCAACTGCTGGGCCCAGCCACCAGCTGACTGGATATAAGCACCACACTGTGTGGCCGCACCCAGCCCCCGGCTGGATCTAAACACCACATGGCTGCCAACAGACGGGCCCAGCCCCGAGATGGCCAGATTTAAGTGCCATGACCTCCCCCGGGGAAGACATCCGCAACCTCCTTGGCGGTCACGACTCACAGGCTGCGCACCATTGGTCTAGTAGCACCTTAAAGACTAACAAAACATGTAGATGGCATCATGAGCTTTCGTGGGCAAAACCCACTTTTTGCCCACGAAAGCTCATGATACCATCTACATGTTTTATTAGTCTTTAAGATGCTACTAAATTTGTTCTCGACAGACTTCAGCCATCTCTTATCCCATCTATTTTTTAATATTAAACAGACACTCCCACGTACACAAGAATTGACCATATCGTGGAGGGGAACAATACAAGAGAACTGGCTTTAGCAACAGTCTATGTTCAAGTTTCTCAACCATTTCCAAATACTGAACAGTCGGTGTATGCAGAAATTTCACATTAAGCATTACTGTTGTTCTCTTGGCCACTAGGGTGATCATCTAAGTGGTGAAAAGAGAAAAGCCCAATTTAAAATGCTCCGATCTTTTAACAACAAAAATTGATAAACTTAACCGTTACAAGTCACTGGGACCAGATGGCATTCACCCAGGAGTTCTGAAAAAACTCAAATGGGAAATTGCAGAACTATTAACTGTGGTTTGTAAACTACCCTTTAAGTCAGCCTAATGTATCTAATGATTGGAAAATGGCTAACGTGATGTCAGTATTTAAAAAGGGCTCTAGAGGTGATCCTGGCAAATACAGACCAGTAAGTCTAACATCAGTATTAGGGATATTAAAATTAGATTAATCAGCTAATCAAATAGTTGACGGAATTTCCATTAACTATTTGACTAGTCAACAAGGGCGCTTCTGCTCTGAAATGTAGCAAGAGCTGCACTGCATTCTGCCTTTGAAGTGCCAGCAGGGGCTCTTGTGCACTTCAAAGCAGAAGCACCCCATGGAGCCCAGGGTTTGCC